CTACATATGTCTTTATCATCTTCTGTGGGTGTTGTTTTCATCTTTGAATTAAGAGCAGGTCACACACCAACAACATGTGTGTGTATCTTGTAAAACAACAAGCTGCCCTTGCTTGTCTTCTGCTGGCCGGGGCCTTTGTGGGTTGGACAGTTTGTGAAAATGACAAAACATGCCAACAAATTGCGTCATTTCTGCCTCTGCGGCCGAGGACAAAGGGCCACCATATGCTGAAGTGTGGAAATGAATGGAGCTCATTTGTGCTGGCACCCTGAGCTCTCGCCCCCCTCGACCCCTGCTGGGGCCTCCGTGGCAATGGGGCTGATGCAGACAGACAGGCCCGCTCTGTGCCATGCTGTCGGGCCACTGTCCGCTGGCACGTCCCTTAGTGTAATGCAAAGCTAATGCATGTGTTTCTCTGTGACGGAATGAAAAACAAGATACAAAGCTAGTTTTGACAGAAGGTGATTGCACATTCTGATTGAAAGCATATACATGTTTGACACTCTATAACTAACATGTGGGACGTTTCAGTTCCTGCATTTAAAAAGTAACTGTATGAGCAACTTTCTGTTTGTCTGTGTTTCTGTGTGTGTATGTGTGTGTGTGTGCAGGTCTGGGATGATAGCAGATGATTAAGGAGTGGCTGCTCTGTTGACATGAGATACTAATGAGGATGAAATGAGAAGGTCAGGGCTTGTCTCCAGGAGGGGGACGCCCTCCTCCTTCCTACATCCACCGACTCTTCCCTCCCCCTTCTCCTATCCTCGTACCCTCGAGTTGCCTCCTTTCCTCAGGATGGACGGCTAATCCTCCTCTTAATCGGAGCAGGCTGGTCTGCACATAGACACACACCTACACACTTCTAAACAGGCCTCTACATCTTCATAATGGAGGTAATTAGTTGCTCGACAAGGCCAGCTCAGCATTATGATTAGCACCCCTTTTTGAGTGCACTTATAATTTGACCACTTAGACCTCTGTTGTCAATTTATTCTTCTCTACACAGTCAATGCAGGAGATATCAAAAAGTATGTAAGAAAAATTATCTCATAATTTCATGTTTTTGGATAACTATTATCCATTGTTGGCAAAAAGGTTGCAAGGTCTCACTTTGATGTCAACACTCTACCTTCCTACACATAGTCCATTTTAAATGCATTTAATATAATTCTGAAACATGCAGAGTAATTTGGAAGAAATATATACTTCCAAAAATTAGCTTGAGTCTTATTTTAGCAAACAATAGGCCATGATTATGTATGAGTTTCAGCTTTCATTGACTATAAAGTTCAAAATGGCTTCCATTAAGGCAAGCAAATCAATACATAACTAAACGCACAATGACTTTTTTCAAAGTTAAAAGTAATACAATGTTTATTAAAGTTTATTGTGGTAAATAGGCCAAAACAAATCCAAGTAAACATGTCATTGCCCTTCATTCCCTGCCGACTGGTTAATGAAATTAATTAGGTACTTTCTTTTTGAAATACTTATAAAAGTTGTATGCAGTACACTGCAAAAACCATCTAGAAATAAGTACAAAATGTCTTAAAATAAGTGTATTTACCCTTAATTTTAGTAGGTAAATAAGACGATTTGCCAATGGAATCAGTATTTCTACTCCTAAAATAAGACAATTAGATAATATTCGCTTGAAATAAAACAAAGCAATTTTTTTTCTTATTTTAAATGTAAATTGTCTTGTTCCATTGGCAAAGTGTCTTACTTATCACCTCAATTCAAGACAAAATTCACTCAATTTAAGCAAAAATAACTCATACAGATTTCCATTTTTTGCAGTGTAGGTAGTATATATTTAAAAAGCTAACTGTGTTATTTTAGATTTAAAAGTGTATGAATGGTTTAAAGGTCCAGTTAAATTATGTGTAGATGTCTAAAGTTTTTATCATTTATCTTAAACTAACAATAATAGTGAAGTGGTGCTTTTGTGTTTGTTCTGTATGGAACTAGCAAACATCAGTAGCATTATCACAGTATAAGTTTGTGTGAGACTATGTTATGCACTTCAAGCTGCTGAACATTACTCAAGCTAATGATGTACCATTTTTACAACCTCAGGGAACTAAAAACTTTGTGCAACTATATTATAATGAACCCTAATGCAGCAGATTATCTATACTGATCAGTCAGTTCCATTGCGGAATGCCAACTGTGCAATACCTCATACTTTCCTCATTACTAAATGTTCCAGTGAACTGCGAATAGTATTATAATAAAGTGGAGGGAACTGAAACATGACAACAAGTTGTCCATGAAGTGGTAAACTGAGTAAAGTCAGAGTGAAATCAGTTGAATGAAATCATGCTGCTTTAGTACACCAAGGCATTTTAGACAATTTCATGGATGCCCTCTCATGTTGCTTTTGAGGACTAATGGATGAGCCACTTTGGTTTGGATGAACATGGCTAGCCTGTACAGAATCTTGTACTCAACCTAACAAAATACATTTAGATCAAATCAGAGGGTAGCATGCGAGCCAAGTCCTCTCATCAATGATGTCTCCAGTGTTTATAGTAGCGGTGTAACATAAAAATTGTTTTAGTAAGTGTGCTAGATTTTCACTGTAAAAGTAATCAAACTAATTACTTTTGACATATTGGTAGAGCTTTTACGCTACCTGCAATCGGATGTGGCACTTTACTACAATTCGATCAATCAAAGGGACTTTTCCTATGGCAATATCTCTTAGTCTGGTTTTGACATCAAACCAGACTAAGAGACGAGAAGATGGAGCGGAACTGCTCAATCAGTGACAGTATTCATAAAGCATTCAGAGCCTAAATGTTCCTGTGATTTGCTCATTATGAGAGGGAACTTAGACTTCAGCTTCATCGGTTATGTGCAGCTCTGATTCTCCTCACATCATCCCATCACCAGCAATACAGACTGCCTTCATTAACACATGCTGCTCTTTGCCTTGTCAATGTCATACAAAATACACTTGCATACTTATTTCACATGGAAATACAGGTGTTATACACTTTTAATGCTTTTTTTCTGTATATATGCAAACTGAGAACAGAGTTACACCGCCACGGGTGGTCTCCCTTTATTCCTCCAAGCTCGGGTCCTCTACCAGAGGCCTGGAAGCTTGAGCTAGAACTGCAATAATTTGCTTTGTTGTTCTTTAATCATATTTACATAGATACAGTATATCACACTCACTTGTCCCTTCAAACACACCAAAATGCTTCAGATTTGTATACGTAAATGTCGCTTTTAATTATTTCATTAATTCGTATAAAACCTTTTAAAGTTGCAATAATAGCAAAGTCACCCAAATTCGTTTACATTTTAGATTCTAAAAAGTAACTGTATATTTGCGCTAGTTTCTTTGATTGTGCAGTTAATAACTCTTTTACTTTTTTGGAGAATTTACTAGTAACTATAACTAATAACTTTTTTCAGTGAAATTGACAATACCGGTCCTTACAAAAAGATTTTTCAGTAAATACTCAAAATGTCGACAAACACATTGCTACATCTTGTGGTAAACTCTATGGATTAAGAATGGAATTATTTGTGAAAGGACACTGGAAAGTATTTGCAATGTTGTTTTTATCAAAGACCAACATGTGAATAAGAGGACAGTGAATGGCAGAACATGAGAGTTTTAGAAAATTTTAGAAAACAATTTCATAAATAAAACCTCACAAACTCTTCATTATAGGTTTTTCATAAGAAACAATGGAAACTGACCACATCTTGTGACTATGTGCATTAAAATGGATGAAGGCTGCATTGTGAGACAAGCAACCGACTCCTCACCCCCACAGTGAGATAAACAATCACAGCATCCAGATTTTTCAAAAACGATTTACTAAGGAACTTATTTTACTTAAGACAATGTTACATGACCTGAGGTATGAATCTCTCTCTCTCTGTATATATATATATATATATATATATATATATATATATATATATATATATATATATATATATATATATATATATATATATATATATATATATATATATATATATATATATATATATATATATATATATATATATATATATTAATATATATATATATAGGACAGAAGCAGTTTTAATTAAAAGGACAGAGCATAGGTTAGCTGAGATAAACGTAGTTTGAACATAGTTCTGCACAGGCCTAAATGGTTTTGCCCAAAATGAAAATTGCAATTATTTTAGGCGATTGCGATTTCATTTTAATGTCCTTGAGAGCTTGCTTGTCTAGAGTCAATATTTGCAGGACTTTACTGTAACCTCTGTGTGTAAAAAGTGCCAAATTCTTCTTGCATGCATAAATCTGGTGCTCTCTTCCCTTCTGTATGATTGCAAACCCACGTTAAACACATTAATGCAACCTAAAGGACTGGTGTCAGAAATGTTGTTACTAACTCTTGTTAAATGTAATACCACCAAAATGGAGTGCCCCTATGATTTAAAGATAGTTTCTTTCTTTGCAATTTATTGCAAATGCATTTAATTTCCATAGTTCTACAGATACACTTTTTGGCAGCGTGCTGACTTACTACAGGTGTTTCAACTTTTTACCTCTCTCCTGTATTCTTCCTCACACAATTTCACAAACAGACAACGAGAATATGTTCAGATCCTAGTTGTAAAGCATGTTCTAAATGGGAATTTTAGCTAAATAAATAAGTAATAGGTTTAGTTGTTCAGTAATTCATAGGTGCTGATCTTATCCCTTTAAAGCCTTTCTGAAAAGTAAATTGGTACTATGTTCCCCCTAATGTGAAAGACAAAGAATAAGTAAAAAAAAATAAATAAATAAAACAAATGTTTTTATATTTCTAATATTCACACATAGAAATTTTACTTTTCTTATTTCTATTTAAGCAAGAGTTTATGTCCAAAATAAAATCTTAAGAAGTTTGCTGATGCAGCTAAGGTTAACACTGAAGCATCCCCTCTTATTCATTTAAAAGATAGATGCTGCAAAGGTTTGCTCAATCTAGAGATGAAGTCATGTAATAAGAGATAACCTAGACAAAGGTAGCGCTGATGTCTGTCCAGCGATGCAGAATAACAACTTGTCTGAGTGCAGGGGAGCTCCTAATAAAGAAGGTGTGAGGGTCTCTATCAGCATGGTGAACTGCTGACCCCAACAAGGGGAAGGAAGTACTCAGCCAGCTGCACGCCATTTTTCATTCCTCGGATGGACCTTAAAAGAGAGGCAAGAAGAGAGAGAGAGAAAGAGAGGGGGTGAGAGGGGGAGAAATGTATAATGGGTCAGATGAAAAAAAAAATACTCCTGGTCTCGTGAAGTGTAGTGAAGTGTCATATGGATGCCTCCTAAGTCGTGACCTCTGTGAATTTTAAAGACTGTTCATCTCAACTCGTTAATCAAAGACTGATCCGTATCACAGTGACAAACCACACACACACATGCTAGCTAAGCCAGGTGCCATTTATCTTTTTTTTTTCTTCCTTTAACGTAGAAGGTTCATGGGAAGATGAAAACTCTCTAATTGCCACTCAGGTCTACTGACACGCTGTGGAAAATATATTTCATACTACTTCCTGAACACGTTTACATTCGCACCATCATCATAGATTTATTACAAACATGCAAAAATTCTCTTAAAATATGGATTTCATTAAATAAGAAGGTATAAATTATTAATTTGGTAAGATTGAAGGAAAGCTTTTATTTTTATAATGGAACTAATGCCGATAATAGAAAAACTGAAAAGGTCCAAGAAACAATGGTTGACCTAAACCATCTTTGATTATTTATTTTTTTTTGTTCCCAGTTTTTTGTTCCCAATGTAAGAAAAAGAAATAAACAAGTAGCTATGCAAACTGACTGTAATTTTGTTTGTTTTCTACACTACACAATTTTTCTAATTTTGCATGGGATGAACTTCAATCCTGTAGTTAAAGTTTTGAACGTTTGGATTATTGCTCTGCGTTTTGACAATATGGGCAATGTATAAAGAGAAACTAATGTCTTGCAGACAATTCCTAACTTATTTAGAGAAAGGAATAGATCTGCCTTCCTTACTTGAAAGTCATGCTATTTGGTCTTTTCTATTTTAAAGAGGGAAGAAGTAAAATGGTTATCCCTGTCATTTCCCCTCTCACCATTAAAGGTCTACTATTTAAAGTTTCTAGAACATCCTGAACTACAAAAAAACATTATTTTTAAATATAATAAACTACTCAATTACATTTCTCACGCTTTCAGGTGTAATTTTTATAATAGGAAAAAAATAAATTTATTTTAAGACTTTTTTTTTTAGCAGTTTAATAAAAATAAAAAACTGCCAGGAATAGTTTTCATGAATGACTCTTGTGTATTGTGTTTGGAGTACAGGAAATATAGACATCCTAAATACATTGCCTACCACAGAAGGATGAGACAAGAGTTCCTTGAAACACGCCTCCCATTAAAAATGGACTCCAGCAATGATGTGCTGTTGGCATGCAATACTTCTCCTAACGGGCATCCGATTTCCATCTTCCCCCTGTAACAAAAGAGGGAGGCCGTTGTGGAATTCGTATGGAAATTAAAATAGATTTTTTTACTTCATTGCAGTAAGTGAAATTTGCTTAGTTGCAGGAAAAGACGATTTCTGCTTCCACACTGAAAATATAGTTGGTAAATCGTATGCAACCAAAATATGAACACTCCTCATAACCCTGCTGCAGATAAAGTTGTTTCAGTCCAGTGTGATCTCTCTTGCTTGCTCTGTTTGATCAGGAGCGAGGGGCAGGGGGAGAGAGGGAGGGAGGAAAAATGAGCCTGCCAGTGGTTAATTGAGCATACAGATTCCTAATGTGTCAGGCGGTGGCCTCGCAGATGAGGGATGGCACTTTTTTACGATGCATCTTCCTTTGTTTCCTCTTCAGGCCTAATGAAGTCGGCCCTCCAGTCACCACCTGGGCCGGACGTTCAGGCACCACTGCCCCCCCCCCCTCACACCCCCCAACGCCTTCATTCACAAAGTCTGATAGCGATTCAACATCTCTAACACTCCCCTACCGCTTCCTCGACCTCAGCCAGCCTGAAGATAAATACACACACGTGTGATGACACACAGGCTTGACCAGAGGCGTGATTACGCACAAGCGGGATATATGAGTGTGCAAGCGCATCTACACAGCACAGTTTGGGAGTTTGTGATAAACTCACACTTTAGTCTGATGTTAGCAGCATATTCATTATCAAAACCGCAGACCTGTTTATTTTTACAGTCACAAAACAGCAAGCATCCATTATCCAAAGCTTTTTTGTTTTTTGGGGGGAGGTGGGGTGTCTCTTTTCATACATGCCTTTAGGTCACCTACTAATGAGCTTAACACTGAGGAAACATGGAAGCGATTAGACGAGGTTTGGCTGTTTAAAAAGCAGGGCAATGATATTGTGCCTTATGATTACAGGCGTTCATATCAGCGCAAACAGCAGAAAGGAAGGGAGTCGAGTAACAGTGTCTGTGGAGTTCCAAGACCTTCTCCAGGAAAACTTCATTTGGGTTTAAATTTTTTGCAACCAAATGTCTTTTTTTCCGTATTTTTGGCAGCTTCCCATTTTCCTTCTCCTTGTTGTCTCCTTAGCATGTCGGCCTCAAAACTCCCCCTTAGTAACACTTTCTCTTTGTTGCAGCTACTTAGGCTAAGTAGTTTCTGGTCACCCAAACATGTTCAAGGTGCTCTGTGACCATATGTTTACTCGCTGGGGAGCAGAAGAACGAAAAAGGCTGGACTCTGTGATCTTCACCTAGGTTGAGCAATGAATACTCCAAGCTCCTCTCGCTTGGGTTCACGCCAGGCGAAGGCAGTATATAAGCATCACAGGCCTACAACAGAAGCCCAAGCAAGAAAGTATCTAGAAGAGGATAAGTATATAGAGATAAAATGGATCAACTTTATAATACAATAAAATAAAAAAAAAGGATTTTCATAGCTTTAGTGTTTGTATGAGAAACGATTCATATAGTATTAAGATAAACCTGAGTGTCAAATGAAAAAAATAGCTTATATTTTCTATGTAAGACGGCCATAAAAGGAAATAGAATAGCTTTTATCAAATAGTTATATAACAGGTTGGTTACTCGTATTAAACTGTATTGAGGTTCTAGACAGATACACTGTTAAATTTTGATAATATTTTTTGTCTTTTAAATGAGACACCAGAAAGTGTCAAAGGGACTGAAGTTTTCTATGGAAAATGGGAATGCAATCAAAGCAGCGCCGTAGATTTGACAGAACTGGATGTCTCAAATTAAATATATTTTCTCACTTCCAAACCTCCTTTAAAAACATTCTTAGATACAGCAACATATATGTGCGCTTGGGAAACAAAGAAAAGTGCCATAACCTTAATATGGCATTTCCCCTCCTTCGCTTGGTGTTTCATTAAGAAAGTTCATGCACTTTTTCACATGAAAAAACTTCAAATTTGGATGAAAAGATTTCAGAATGTGTTTTTCTAGAAACTCAAAAGGGCACCACCCGTAGTTTTACTGGGACATACAGCTTTTAAACTAAAATTGTGAAGCAGCAGAATAGGAGCAGCATTTCTACAAAGCAGCCGTTCAAAGGATCTCCAAGAGCAGTTAGACCACATAATTTCCCAGCTAACAGCAACTTCTTATAGTACTATGGTTATTTTAAAGGGCAGAGCAACGACAAGCAACACAAGAATGAACAACAACATACTTACATTAAAGAGAAATTTTGTAAAATTAAAAGAAAATATCTTTAAAATAGGCTTTTTATTTGGCTCTTTATGATTAAAACATTGTTTGATGTGCAGACCGATCTGTGGCCTATTTTCCTGAATTTACTTCTGGTCGGAAGTTCCTATGCTGTTCTGCTTATATGACGTCAAGCACATCCATGTTAAATGGGTCCGACCTAGAAATTTATTGAAGCAAAATATTCAAGATGGATTTTGTGTATATTCGGAAGTGACAGGCAATCAGCTCAACTCAGACACCAATGGCAACTCTAGGTAATGTGAAAAAAGTAAAAAAAAAAAAAGAACAACTTTGTCAACTATGAGGCTGAGCTACAAGAATGAGCAGAAGAGTGCTGCAGTTCTGCGTGTTGGCCACAGGTGGCAGCATCATTAGAAAACACTGTAATGCCTCTTTAAGTGTTTAATCATTACTTGTCTTAAAGGAATGCTGTCTCTTTCCTTTGGTACCATTGTAACTTTGGCTTGATATCAGTCCTTTATGGGTGCAAAGTGGTGGCATCCATTTTGGGACATCACACTGAGTTTACTTTTAGTTACAGATGAAGTGACCACTATTACCTTTATCATCAACTTTAATTATATGAGCCTTCAAGGTCAAGCTGGGATCAAAACAAAAATTATTGTATTTTAATTTTATTTTAGCATTTTATACCAAAAGCAATTTAATTCATTGTGATATTGACTCAGTTTACCGCCATTAATACTTAATTTAAAAAGAAAATGAACTGATAAATAATTACTGAAATACATTTGTTCCAAACAGAAGTTTGAAGGGACAAAATTGCAATGCATTGGTGTAATATGTGCGATGAATTGGTAAAATAAAGAACCACCCCACATTGCTGAAGCAGCTGCTGGAAAATTTCTTAGGATTTTAAAAGTCTTTCAATCATCATTGGTAAATATTTCAGTACTTATAGCTCTATGGAAATTGTAAAATATGAGGAATAATTAAACTTTTAATTATTTTAGTTACTCTAAAGAAAGAATCAAATAACAGCTGGTTCCCAGATTGGGTTTATGTGCAGGTTTTTTTGGCATTATGTCATCTATATGTTTCTCTTGGGAAACTGCTATCAAAGATTTAAACTCTTCATGAAACTGCCATCAAACCTTTCCAAGGTTGGATTTTAACCAAAATCCAACTTCCATTTTTAGTGGTTCCACTAAATGAAATTGTTCCTTATTTAGAAACACGCAGCATTTTAGATTTGTAAAAGCTTTGCAGCAGAAATACCTCAAACTTCCTAGTTTTACTTCTCTTGGTGATTGGTAAAAGTGTTATGGTTTTGCAAACACATGCTGCCACAATGATAGAAATCAGAAAGCAGGATTTTGTTCAACATTTTGAGACAAACAACTGAATAAATATTTCTGAGTAGTATATTTACTTTCTGTATAATGAGGAAATTATATATCTAAATATAACAAAATAGATTTAATAATATTTTTGAACAGATATAGTTCTCTTTGCTTGTTTTGAGAGCACACTTATTAAAAGCAATTGTTCCTATGTGTATTTTCTTAATAATTGAAAATACACTGATGTTAAAAGTTAAGTTTAGTTATTTTGCCAAAAAGGTGGTAGATAAAATAAATAAAAATTACACAAAAAAAAAATGTTGTCATTTCTGGCGCATACAGTAGATAAGCCGAAAATGATTAATAATTGGTATACTGAAGAAGAAAAACAATTCAACTTCCATTTTTTTTCTGGCTCAGCTTTTCTTCTGTAAGCTCTGTGTCTTTTGTGTGTTAGGAACAGTTTAATTCCTCCATTTATTAATGGAAACAAACTCAGCTCTGATCATTTTTGAGTGAGCTGTTACTATGTAGTTTCAAGCTTGCATCTTGTCATTGTTTCATGTATGTCCTCCATGTTGTTAAAAATGGTTCACTACTAAAGCCAATCAAGATTTGTTTCAGTATCTGTGAATGCTGATGGCATCTATAAACTGTCAACAGACATTTTTTGCAAACCTTAAGAATTTCTCATTTCTCTGTAGGCCATATCGTTTTGCTTAGGATAGACAGATAACATATTAAAAAAATTGTTGAAACAAGAGAGCTTTTAATAAATACATATGGTTTTATCACTAAAATGATGTTGAATGCTCACATGGTTCTCTTTTATACCCCTTTCAGATTGGCTGAAAAAACAGTTTAAACCTGGGAACAATCGCCATTTAGTGGCTGTAGGAACAGCTCACTGACGCCTGTCTACCCAGGTCATACAACTCAGAAAGCGACCCGAGTTAAAATCGCCTCAGCTCTGATCGGTATGCTATGGGATCACCAGACCCAGGTTGGCCCACTAAATTACGTGACACCATTGAATGCAATGTATGGAAGTCAACACATTGCACCAGTCACTTCTGATCTAACAAGCCGAAACAACTCTACATTCAATAAGCATGGCGTAGCACTGGAGAGAGGGATTTCGACAGATAAAAGAGTGAAATAATAAAGAATACTGACTATGCTCTGGCTTACGGCCATGTTGCTCTTCATTGTTTACCTCCCTGATTTCCTTCGCACTGTCGACATCATCAATGCTCACTCACCCAATGTGATGCTGTCATCAGACATGCAGTTGTGGGGGACAGTTGGGTCGGACCCAGCTTTTCAAATGGGAAAAAAGACAAAAGCCGATTGTTAGGGGTCAACCTGGTTTTGAGAAACCCGGGTTTTCAGTGGGCAAGCGGCTTTAGACTATGAATACCAATGTTGGGGTACTGACCCAACTCATGATCCTTTAGACTT